AATAAAATGGAAATACGATGTGAGATTATAGCTTTTGAACCACCTGGGCGGCCAACTGTCTAAATGATTATGATCTCAGTCCAAAACATCTATAGGTTTCCTAGTACCAACTACAGCAAAAGTGTACTGTGACACCATGAGAAGGGCAAACAGTTAACCCCACATAAGGGTTTATTATGCTTCAAACAGGTCGAACAACATGTTTGACTAACGGCAAAAATGTTTCTACCTTTTTCAAATCTCTACACTCAAAGGTGGCGTGAAGAGCCGCCCCCCGGCTGCATCACCCTGCCTCCTTGATTAGTCTTTCGCATATGTTTGCTGTCTTGATTCATTAGATTGTGCAAATGGGGATAACACTGCACACTTTCAGTCTCTCCGTGAAGGCACTCATTGTGTTGTCCATGGTTGTAAACATGATCCTGTTTGACACGGCTGCCCCAAGATGACGTCAGAAAGGTACAAGGGGGAGGGTATTTCAGATTCTGTGAGGCTGTGCTCAGACCTAAATTAGCCCTACGTGAAAACACATCCTGCTTATTCATTTGAAAGAGACACAGAGGGCTCTGGTGAAAAATGGCAGCATAGTCTGGCAAAGTTTGAACCTGCATGGCTCAGCTTTTCATCTTGATCTGGCAACGTGCTGTATTGGATAATGAAATATGTTTATGTATGCAATCCTGGTAGCTTACTTTGTAAAATGAGCTGTACTTAATTTTGACAAAAGATAAAGTGATTGCCACTGTGATAATTTTCCTGAGTAGTAAAACCTTTCCTAATAAAATTTTTGACCAGTTTTCACGTTTTAGCATCTGCCGAAGGTTTCCCTGTGTCACATGTCACAGTCCCACTAATACCTGAGCATCACAGTTTTGTATTTTTGGTTTGTTGTTGATTTGAACGACCACTTAGTCAGTAGAACAAGAACTTTATAGTAGAACATGACGCGGTATCCTCAAATCAGTAAAGAAGAATGGAAATGCGACTACACTGCAAACAATGTATCCTGTACTTCTGGGTTCTTTTTTTTTTAGCATTTGGTGGTATATTTTTCTCATTCCTGATGATAGCTGCACAAATACAGATAGTATCACCTCTCAAGGTGCAATAGAGTGTGATTGCAGAAAAAAAATGCAGCAATCTAAAACATCAGTTACTGCCAGGTTTCCTCAGAAGGAAAGAGAAGGACTTCTGTTCACAGGCATTTTGCAGCAGGTCTTCATCAGTTTTACTTGGAGGAATCCATATTAAAGAGGCAGAGATACAGATTTCTACACTGATTTCAGCCTTGGTAACACCAGAAGGTGATGGAGCTCTGAAACCTGTTAGACTCATTTATTTCCCTTGACGGGAGAAATTTCACTTTGTGAAAGTCTGTTCTCTGGGTTTTATTGCGATAACATTATCTGAGATTTGGACATAACCGACATAGGTGTAGAGATGTAGAGAAGGCGGTAGTGGGAAAGTGTGGGAAATCTGCATTTCAACACTGCATCACAAGATAAGTCCTGGAATGCATTAAACATCATAAACTGATACACAACTGTAAAACCATCTGTTGACATATTTTTTTTAAGTGCATTGAAGAAACTCTTGAGTGCAGTTTTCCTGATTTCCTGGTTGGGAGTTATCCATCTGGTGTGTTGTTAAACTGTGACAGCCATTTACTCTCATCTTGGACTGTGAAGCACCCATATGACATCTATCAAAATATTCAATTACAAAGTTATGCCAGTATTAAAAATACTCGTTGTTAGTGATTAGATTGGAAGTGGTATTAAATTAAAAAACTAAATTTGGTCCTTTTTTTGGTCCTCTGGACCCCTCATGTTGTGCTAGTAGTGAAGAATTCCCAGTATGTATCTGCAGCCGGTTGTACCAGCTACTCTTTTAAGATCAAATGTATTAAAATGTAAGTGTTTGCTATGTGAAGATTTACAATTATTAACACCACAAGCAGTAGTACTACCAGCTCTGATCTCATGGACAAAGCTAATGTTGGCTCGCTAACCCATGACCCAGTAGAAAGAGGAGGCAAAAAGGTCGACACCTGATGCTCAAAATTACAAAACTAACTTAAATTACAAAATGCTAAACAATACATAACTAAATAAGGTAAGTTAGGCTAACATAATTCAACATCTTCCTCTCTCTCTACACTAATGATCACTCAGCATTTCTACATGTATGTACATATACAGTAAATAAACTGTTTAATGTTTTGGTTAGACCCTAAATTCCCCTGATTTCCATATTCCATCACTCTGCTGCTCACTTTCTCTCTCTCTCTCGCTCTCTCCCTTTTTTGAACACAAATGCTTTAATACTCTAATTTCAGTCATTTCTTCTTTGCTGTTATTCTCATTGATGTTGAGCAACGGGGCTGTTAATAAAACCCAACACTTCCTGATGTTTTTTACATTAAAAGCGTACATGTGAAGGAAAGCTGCAAGTCCTGAAATCAGTGATGAGTTTTACCCTGCATAGTAGTTTAGTGTTGTTTAGGGGGGAAAGCAAAATGTCGTTGTACTGATCAAATTAGTGCTTTGGATATTGCAGTTAAATTTAAAGTGAATGTAAAGGCACAGGTGGAAGAAGTATTGCATTCACTGGGGAACAGGGGAAATTAGAAATAAAGGCTGATAGCTGTTGTTTTGGTCCAGACCACTACAGCATCTCTCCTTCAGGCAGATTTGGATTTCTTTAAAAAGAAAACCTTTCACCACTCAGGAGCTGAGATGTATTTCACAAGGCCTAGGGCGCGTTACTCAGCATGGACAACTATTAACAAGAGCCGGTGTGAGGTATCACACATATGTACAGCTCGCAGCTAATCAGCTGAGGATGAATGGGAGACTTACTGTATTGGAGACATTTTATTTGTCTGAGCATGTACGTCCAAATGAGCTTTATTTCACTTCATCGTTAGATTTATCAGCTCTCGGACAAGCTGTGCACCTGAAATAGTCTCTCACTATCCCATTAAATAACTTGCCTTTTTCAATTCACGCTGTATGAAACTGCATATTCTCAAATTAGAGAGAGGAGATATTCACTTTGGGAGATGTTAGTGAGACAGCAGCTCACATATACAGAGAAGTATAGTGTGTTTAAAAGCTGAAATTAAGTAGGATTTACCATTAATGAGGAAATGGGGGATGGTGAAAATGCTGAAGAGCAGAGGGTTCTTGAGAGAGAAAGACAGCTGTGGGATTTAGTTTCTTTCTCTCTCTGTAAAACCAACTTCCCTGATACCCTGTCTAAGTGCATGCCCAGCTGGCACAGCGCCTACTGGCAAAGTGTAACTAAAACGAGAGATGTCCCCTGTGTGTACTGATGTAACTTTGTAACTGTCCCTCGTGGAGAGATTATGTGCTTATCAGATTTTCCTAACATGGTCACAGCAACCAAAATTTGATCCACGAGCAGAGCAAGAATTGGAAAACATGGTTTTTGTGAGCATGTGGCCAGGCTTTCTGAACGTGCTGCAGATGTCCCTGGGCTAGCACTGCTGACTCCACACGTTTGTGGATATGTGGGTGAGAAAAACACTTGATATCGCATATGTCAGAAGCAGCCACAGCCAGCCTTATCACCCTGCCAGCAATTTACACACTCTACACATGAGCGGTGACTTGATTCAAGTAAGGAAGGTAGCTAGACAGGCTACTAGCATACTTGTCTTGCTGCAAAAAGAGCTCATTATATGGTGTTTTTTAAATTGAAGGTGCAGTTATCTCCTTGTTCTCCAGGTCGAAGATGCTGTAGGACTGACTTTTTTTCACAACCAAAAAAAAAAAACAAGCTGAACCCTAGTGCCGCTCTGTGTCTTCTCACGGAGTTGTTGATTTGCCTTTGACTGTAGCATAAGTTTCCTACTTCTCAATGCAGGCAGTGAAGCAACTTGTTTTTATTGTGCAGCACTGCCTCTCAGTCCTCATTGATGGGAGTCAAAGCCTGCTGGTTCTCATTCCTTCCATCGAATCAGGGGCCGAGTTACACCTGCAATGTCAAGTGCATGCAATTAACTTGCTGCATGGCAAAACCAGCGGTACTGTGAGCCCTGAGGACTTGGACTGAGAACCACTCTCATTGAGAAATGCTGACACCAGTAACGAATTATATTCTGAGGGGCAAGTGTGGAGCATGTTTTTCCCCCTCAGCAAGTACATAAAAGCAAAAGCCTCAAGTTATTTTTATACACAAAAGTTCACACAATTAGATATAAAACTTGCTTAAGTCATGAACAGTAAATTACACACAAGTAGTGAAAGATCAAGGTAGTGTAGAGCACAGTCAAGATTCAAGACTTTTTATTTCAGATTTACCTATTTTGTACTTTAGTTGCTATTTGACCTGCAACTACAGTATCGGTTATTTTCATTAATAATTATACTGTTTTTCTTTTATCTTTTTTGGTCCAGCTGCCATTTTATATTCAGTTAAAAAAATTGATTAAAAATGCTCAAAGTTCAGTTATGATGTCTTTAAATGTCTAATGCTGGCCACCAATTCAAAACCCAAGGATATTCAATAATATAAGACAGACAAAAGCATGTATCTTATAGAAGGGGTGTTTGGCAATTTTGCTTGAAAAATATCTTAATTATTTAATTGTGAAAGAAAAGTCACCAAATTTCTGTTGCCTTTCATCTGAGCTCATTCAACTCTAAATGGATGGTTTGAAACAGTTTGGATGTACTGACAAAACGGACTAATGAAAACTGTAACCTTCACTTCAGCGGTGGCCAGTCTTACTTTTTGTGTTAGTTGTGGCAACTTACTGTTATTCCTATTATTGAATTACTGTTTATGCTTTTTCAAGTTGTGAAAAATGGAGATCACATATTAGCTGGTGGAATCGGAGACTGTACTGTATAGCCACATATTATAACTCTGTTAAATTAATTATTTTTTGCCCATCTATCAATATGGTTTCAGCTTTAACTGTAATGTTTTTAGATTATTTTTCATAAATATTTCTCTCTTTTCTCTTTCAGCCAACAAGACTTTGCTCGGCGGAGGTGGAGGTAAGTTACAACCTGTCTGATCCACCGGTTGTGTGCGCTTGTGCTTGCCAAAGTACTTATAGGCTTCAGCTGGTATTAATAGCACAGCTTTGTGGTGCAAATAGTCCTCTCTGAATGCAAAGTAATTTAAAATGTCATACTTCATTTAATCAGGGGATGCAGTGCAGTTTACTAGCCAAAGAGTGTGTGGATGTTTCATGTCCTACAGTACGTCTGGTGTTTTTTGTATTTCCTTTGTGTTTGGTAGCAGGTAGCTCTTTGTTGTGGCAGGTGTTCAAGGTGCGTTTGCATGCTGCGCAGTGCGTGTCTTTGTGTGTGTGCAGGTGTGAGGGCGATGGTTCATAATTTATGGGTGTGGAGTGCTGTGGATATAAACAGTCATTTTTCAGTGTATTGTTGACTCAGTGCTTTGCTGCATGCGTGTGATGTTGGTTAATCGATACTTGTAGTAAATCTGTACTGCTAATGCGGCAGCCGCATTTGCTCATACACACACCTATTCAAGCTGCGTGTGTGTGTTTGTTAACGCTTGCAAATTTGGGTGCTGGCCGTTTGCCTGTAGTTGTTTTCTTTTTCTTCATTTGGGCAAACAGCTTTAGTCTTTCAGCCCATCTCACTTTGCCATTTTTAACCTTCCCATTTGTATGTGTATGTGCACACATGTGTTTTTGCTCCCAAGTCTCCATGGTGACACATCCTGTGGCTCACCTGTATGTACAGTATACGTGCATGTGCATTCTTATTTCATTTCATAGCAATGCATTTGTGAGAAGTACATTTGTTTGCCCAGAGTGTACAGTTGAAGTCCTTAGTGTCCACACACACACACGAGCTCCACCCTTAGTGATATACACCAGCTGAGCCTCGAGCCATAAAATGGACTGCACACTCTTGGGTCCTGTGGCTTCACACACACACACACACACACACACACTAGCACACATATGCTGTCAAGCATCTCGAGATCTACAACACTGTTTGATGTTGTCCCGAAGTCTCTGAGTCTTCACATACAGATGGTTTCCAGGGAGACTGTGAATATGTATGTATGCGTCAGACCGTACATTTGTGCCTATGGAAAATATGTTTCTGTTTGATGCTCTGGTTTAGTCATTTTCATTTTACTTGGGCAAATTTAACGGCAACATCTGTTATAACAACATCTGTTTTTAAAGTAGCCAAATGGCTGGAGGAGGCTACATCTTCAGCCGTTTTCATCTGTGTCTGTCTTTTTTATCTGTTTCTACATCACTCGGCCTTTCTTGCTGAGTTGACTTCACTCTTCTCTTTCTTGTTGTATTTATTTTCCTGTCTCTGTCTCTCTTTCCAGCTCTGTCCTCTGGGGTTTTCCGAGGCAGATAGAGTTTACAGTAGGTGTTAATTAGAGAGAGGTAAGGGTAGAGACGGGGAAGAATGGAATAAACAAAAGAATGGGAGGGAGATGATGGTTGGAGTGAGAAGACAAAAAGACGAAAGCAACAAAGGTCCAATAGTGTTTGGAAGACGGTCACTGGGGATTGATAGATGCAAGAGGAGAGCTGAGTGGAGAAAAAACACACAAAAATCATTTGCTATACCACTCCACTCGCAGTGATCACACTCTGCACTGAATATCCAAACATTCATTCAGCTGTTGTGAATGTTTTTTTTCCTCATCAGAGGTGAGGCAACAAAAGGTCTTTACAGTGCTTTACTGCTCAGTCTCATGGGTACCTGGGTAAATGTCATTCAGTTATATCAAACGCACACCTACCGACATTGTTTTTGCACTTCAATCTGGAGGAGTGTTGAGCTCAGGCAGTGCATCAGCAACAAACTGAAGAGCAGGAAATTAACCTTTTTTATGTCCACTGGCTGCTACTTGCTCATTTATTCCAGAGCTTATCTGCCATTTCAACGTTTCACTGCTTTGATTGATTTTCCAAATAGAAAATAAAACCCAGATGATGATTGGAGGTTCAGGCAGCCAGACGGTTACCATCAGTTTTATATATACTGTGTATATGTGTGTGATGGATCTTTATCTATCTAGCTATATGTGTGTATTCATTTTGAATGAATGCTAGTAAAATGGATAGAGCCAGGATTCACAATTTGTAAGTTTGTTTTTGGCTCTACTTTCAAGTTACCTTATGTCAGTGCAGTATGCACCTTTGGGACATGTGGTGCACTGAAGTGTTTTTCCACAGGTTCGTGGCCTGCACATAAATTTCGTCCACCCGCAGTGAAATGTAAAAAGCAAGGATGAGAAGCTGAACCTGCTTACAACACTTGAAGCCACAGTAAACGGTTTTCAAGGGTGAAAACTACAATGTCCTATTTCATTTGTTGCAGAGCCATAGAAGTTGTCAGTGCAGGTTAACATGGGGGTCCACAGCATGTGAGCCTTCTCTAGTATGCTGAAGCTAGAGTTACCTTGTTTTCACGCTTTGTTAAGGAAGGAAAATGTTAGTTTGAGTTGCTGTTGAGTCTTAAGGACCAGATCAGTTTAACATCTTGGTCAGATTTCAGTTAATGTTCAAGTATTTTGATTTGTACCTGAGCTATCATTCTACACACACTCAAAATTAAATTCATTTTATTCTCTTGAGTAAAAATATCAGGGTTCCTTACTGAATCATAGACTCAGCTTTTATCAGATGAATTTAATCCAGTGTTACTGGTTCCTCGGCA